CGAGAATACCGAGTGGTCGATGAAAGCGGAAGGGAGTGCTTTTGACGACGAGCTTTTTACGGCCCTGTGTTCCGGTGTTCAGGCTTTTACGTCCATTCCACGCTTCCTCCTCCTTCGTCACCATCTCCACCTCCCATCCGCTCCGCGTCACTCTGTTTCTCTCTTCCTCTTTTTCTTTTCCTTTTTCTCCCACGCGGTATCGCGCTAATTTCCTCTTTCGCTCTCGTAGTCCTCTACCTCCGCTCGTCCAATAATACATCGCACGTAAGCGGCGATCTAAATCCCTTTTATGAGGTGAAATTTTACACGCCCGACAGTACCAGCGATGTGCCAATCTTCTTCATTCACAACGAATAATGAGAAATTACTAGGTATTCGATGTGATACTCACATGCCTCTCCTCAGCCGGATTCAGACCTGTAACAGAGAGTAAAAAATTTCGTGTGAATTACGCGCGAAAATCGTGATATTATTAAGATGTTATTGTAAGATGACAGAAAGAGAGAGAGAGAGAGAGAGAGAGAGAGAGAGAGAGAGAGAGAGAGAGAGAGAGAGAGCGCGACTGTTCTCGTCGAGATAAATCTATGTTTCAGAAATCACTCTCGACAGAACTACCCCACCGACAGAACGAACGCGCTATGAATGTTTTTTTTTATTATTATTACAGCGTCGAAGGGAATAGAAGTCGGCGGTATGTCGACGGAATCTTTTATCCGCGGGAAGAAGCGGATAAAGGAGAAAGAAGGAGACGCGCGAGACTAGCTAGACTTCTCAAGGATTTTCGAGGCGGCAAGCGCGGGGAGTGAGAGAGAGAGAGAGAGAGAGAGATCGAGAAAAAGAAAAGCCGCGGCTGGAACAGGGAGAGGAGAAAATCCAGACGGAAAAGCTTTGTCCCCGAGAAGCCGAGTTCATAGTTTGCCCTCGCTCGATTTCCCCAGCCTCCTCCTCCTCCTCCTCCTCCTCCTCCTCCTCCTCCTCCTCCCCGTACCCCGCAGTTGGTACACTTTGGTCTCGTAGGAAATATCTTAACGATATCTTTTTCCTACCGTTACCCGTCCTACTACGAAGTAAGAATTACACGAACCGTTTATGTTCTTGGTGCACCGGGACCGTCATAAATTGCCTCTTTTCTCTCTCTGTCTCTCTCTCTCTCTTTCTCGCGACATTAACCACCACGGAAATAAAATATTTTTATTGACGCCGCGAGAGACAGAGCTTCGATATACAAACGATAGCGAGACATTTTCCCCAATAATAAAGTTGCAACGATAAAACGCGTATTTTTTCGTCGCTCAATGAAGCCTTAATTTCGAAGTTCCCATTTGGAGCTTCCATTTCCATTTGAATGTTCTCGAGTATCATCGACCATCTACATTGAGACGAAGGAGTGATTTTATTATTATAGTCTCCGTAGTCCGTCAAATAATAACGGGAACGAATGGTTGGGGGAAACCTTATTGGGTCGAGAGATACCTTTCTCGTATTATTCCGAGCTACCACCTAGTCTATACCGGTAGTCGACGGAGTAAAATGTGAAGAGAAGGCCGAGAGTCAGGTCGCTTCAGGAGTTAAAATCCTGGATACACGTTCACATCGTTATCGAGCAGACGCGTGCAAAGCGGAGCAGTTTCAGAAGATAGAAGGAGAGCAAGAGGTATCTTCTTTCTCCACGCGCCAGTATAGAGCTCGCTAATGCCCGTCATCCCCCTTTTATCCTTCCTCCTATCCGGCCAGAGAAAACTCTTTCCTCCTCCCCCTCACTCGGCTACTCCCGGCGCTCGTAAACGACGGACGAGCGGAAGAGCGCGCATAATTTTCTACTAAAGCGCGAAGAGGTCGTCGAGTGTTTCCGAGAGACCCGTTTTAAGGACCCGCGTACTCGCATCTCCTCTCCCATCTTAGGATAAGTTCGCTAAAAGTACCGAGGACAAGCTCGCTCGTTACTCGGAAAATTATCAGATAAAGACCGGCACGTTATCGAGTATTCGAGTTGTTCGCAACGAAAATCCGCTTCGTATTAAAATCATACCACTTCTACTCGAGGAGCGAGATGCCGAGATATAAACTTAGGAGTAAATCGAGCGAGGATCAATGCCGCTATTATCGAACGCCAACACGGCCGGCATTGGTTTCTAATCGAGCATAAAGATTGCGGGCTCGTTGCGGAGTGAATAAAAAGGAGGAATCGTGGCGTCACGCAGACAGCCGGCAGGTATATAGCAGATATTACGGCGGGCGGATACAGTCCGAGGATACAGTCGTTTTAGGGGGAAACGCGAAAAACCGCCGAAGGGAAGAGACAAAAAACGAGAACGAGACTGCCGCGCGCGCGCTAGTAGAAACAATTCGCTCCGGGCAATGTTCCGGAAAGAAGGGAAGAAGTTTCAGTTGTCACGGCAGAAATACTGGGCCGTTATACGTCTCTCGGTTCGCAGCGGAATCTCTTTTCAAAAGAGTGTCTGCGATCGTTGACAATGTAGACTGCAGTAGATCTGTTCTTTTTGACTGCGCTTTTTCACGCCTTCTTTGCTGCGAGCAAAGCGAACGTGTGTGTGATCACGCTTCGGCGAAAGAAATAGAGAGAGAGAGAGAGAGAGAGAGAGAGAGGAAACAAAGAGTTCGTGTTATATGGGGCATAGTTAGAGAAAAATACATACGAAATAATATGTAATGTGCCACCGGATAAGATAAACGTTCCAGTGACCTACGTCCAGACATTTACACGGAACTTTACACTCGTTTATATTATTACTATTATTAATCTCAAATGTGCTGTCTCTAACTATATACCACTGTATAATATATTGTTACAATTTAACTATGATCTTTAAATAGAATTAAATTATATTGCAATAGAAAGAGCATTTGAAATTAATAGCGATCAATTTTGTGCAAGTGTTCAGACATGTCTGCTCACACTGGGACGTTTATCTTCATTCACGTCATCAAATAGGGACAATTTAGCAATTCACGGTCACGTTAATAAAATTTCTAAAACAGCCGGAGGCATTTCCGTGCTCGAAGTGATTGCTTCCAAGATCGACAGATATCCCATTATGGGCCCATTGATCGGAAAACGCAAAACAACGCGCAAAGCAAACCAGCCGGAGGCTATATACCCGGGGAGAGTAACATAGTTGAGTGCAAGTCGAGGGAAAGGATAGACAGGGGGTCAGAGTGGAGGCCATCAGGGAATAGAGACAGCGAGTAAGGGCGTCAGACGTGGGAAGGGGGAGGGGAAGGGGTTGTGGAAGTACACTCGTGTCGAGAGGAAATTCTGAGTGCTCTCTCGAGAGATGGTTGTGGCTAGAACGAGACACGTTCGAGCGAAAGATCGAAGGAAAGCTAGGAAACGCGCGAGAGTAAGGACGAGAGAGGAGAGAAAACGAAAGATGGAAGAGAGGAGTTTGAAGGAGTACCAACGGCGTCTTCGTCAGCGGTACGTGAGGCTCCCAAGAGCGCGAACCAAGATCTGCAGTCGCGTGACGTGCCAACGAGAAAGATAGAGATGTAAGAGAGGTGGAGAAGATACGAGAGAGAAAGAGAGAGAGAGAGAGGGGGGGGGGAGGAGGAGACTAAAACCTGAGAGGATTCTCGAGGTCAAGATCGAGAGTTTCAGGAGCTTCTCTCGGGTTTAAGCACGGTCGTTTGCATCATCGACTCGTTCGTTCCCAGACTGCACTTAAAATAGCACGAAAAGGTTCCGCTTGATTTCAGCGACTTTGGAGCGGTGTCTCCACCGTACACTCTCCAAGTGATCTCTTTCGCTTCTTGAAACTGCTCTCACGAGCAGTTTTCATCTATTACACCGACGCGGGCTCTCGACGGATTAATCGTGTTTACGTTCATCGTCGCTGCGTATAGCGCTGAATCATCGATGAGATTACGAGTCACGGCGAGCGCGGCAAATCAACAACGTATCGTCTCATGAGGATCGGTTACCGGCCTATTCTCGCAGAAGCGTAGATAGACGATCGAACGGCAGGTAGCCGAGTTAACGTGAAACGTGAGGCTGTATGCGCAACCTTCTGCGAACTAGACGGTAAAACGGCGTTCGTTTCGCGCGCAAAATATCCACGAGCAGAGTCGCTGACTGCGCGCGACATTGACAGACAGACGAGACATTCGAAAGACTTCCACGAATCGAATCTTTTCTATCGACGCGGACTGATCGTACTGCATGCTCGTCAAGAGAGACGCAAATTTACACGTATCAAGCGACCGATGAAAGAATAAAAATTCATCCAGAGATGACACTTGATAATTTTAGAGCAAAATTTATCAGCTATAAGAAAATTTTTCATATTTCGGTTTCTGATTATAAATTCTTTTCTTTATTTAAATACACACGTCAATGAAAAAAAAAAAAAAAATCTTGGATTTAACGCTTGAAACAATTTTAAGACTCCGCAAATATTAAAAACGGGCCAAAAAATATACTCTCCAAGACTCTTGGAGTGAATCTTACTCTGAAGAGTGGCAGACTCTTAAGGATTGAAAACTGAGCCACTTCACTGACTTTCAAGACTGGCTCAATTTTCACTGTTCAGATCGCGACTCCACTCCAAAGAAGTAATTTCGTAAAAGAAGAGTAAAAAAGAAAGTATTCATGTAACTTACCTCCGTTAGGTTTGAGATCGTCGGGTTGACCGCGATGAAGTTCCGGTTTGGTCAGCATCGACAGCGGATGTGCGCCGGTACCTCCGGGGGTGGCAGCCGCTCCTGGGGGAAGGCCTAAACCGAGAAGCGCCGCGGATGCCGAGGTGGGGACCGGTATACCCGCGCCCGGGCCCAACCCAGGAAGTCCGGGTATACCCGGATGCGGTCCCATCGCCGCGCCCGGTGGCAGTTGTTGGGCGTGCATCTGTTGCAGGAGTCTCGGTAGATCAGGCCTCTGTTGCTGAAACAAAAATTTAACGTGCCAATAACATCGTTTTACGCAGTACACGATTTATCCATCGTGATTGGGACAATACCGCCGGCCGCTATCGGTTGTTCGTTGATAAGCGCCTCATAAAGTACCGACACGGGAAAGATTACGTGTTTACGAGTACGTACGTGCGGATCGGCGCGCATAATATATATATATATATATATATACATACATATCGCTGGGATCTCGATAAGTTCCGTAGATTAGATTAAATAAGTGGTGAGGCAATTAACGGGCTCGAGAGCGCGTAACGCCTCTCAAGTATTTCCGCTGTAATTACCAGATAAAAGCGAGCGAGTATTATTCTGCGAAAGACGTGAAAAAACGCGATGTACGGGAATCGAGGCGATCATCGCTAAGAGCGCGGCAGATTGGAATTGAACGGGACGGATGGGATGGGGAAAACTTTAATAGCGCGTCGATATTATCGTGGTCGCTACGGCCGAGAGAGAGAGAGAGAGAGAGAGAGAGGGAGCCAAGTCCAATAGAAGTTCGGAAATGATTTTTACGGGCTATCGGTTTAGCACGATGGTGTGGTGTGTACGCTGCCGCAGCTTCGTTAGGAGAGTCTGTTTGCTGAACGTGAACTCACGTTTCCAGCGCGGACAAATGCATAAGCAAATAAAATCGCGCTCGCGAGCGAGCGAGCGTGGATTTAAAAGCACGGCACGGTGCACCTCTCCTCTCTCTCTCTCTCTCTCTCTCTCTCTCTCTCTCCCACTCATCCATCATAATTGATCAAACAATTTCGTTTCTGTGAGAGGAGACAGGGAAACAGCGAGGAGGGGGAGGGGGTGGGGGACGAACAAAAAGCAACGCAACGATAATTCGCTGGAAAAATCGCTCCGCTTAATTCCAGTCACGATCGCGCGTTCTCCCCCGACTCTCTCTCTCTCTCTCTCAGCGAATCTCTCTCCTCCTCGTCACTGCCAGCCACCGCCAGCCGCTGCCGCCGTTACGCGAAAATACACTTCGTTACAGTCAACGGAGGCAACTTTCCATTAGCAAAGCATACAAATTGCCGAGTAAACTCCGGCAAGTTTGAGTAACCTCCGCGTTCGACCTCGCCCGGGTAAATCAAAGGCTGCGAAACAAGTGGAAAGACTTGCGCGTTCTACCGTCGAGCGAAGGAGTGAGCGAGCGAGCGAATGAACGTCGGCGAAAAGTTTCACGGAAATCTTAAACGTATCTCGCCCGTAGTTTCCTCGTTAGTTGGACCAAGCCGCCAGACAAATTGTGGATCTGTTCAACGCTGTTTTAACGGTTCGCAGATCATGGTGTGGAGGCGAGACTGGTGGGGAGTAGGTAATCGAGAGAGAGAGAGAGAGAAGGAAGGATAGCGCAAGTGCAGACGGCAAGTGCTAGAGGAAGGTACGGTACACCCACACCCGTCTGTAACCATGTACACTCGTTAAGGCAGACCGGGGCGAATATATATATTCCAGGGAGTAGTTTGCCGAGATAATTAAATGGCTTAACGATATAATAACCTCGCGTCGAGCGTCGACCGTCTGAACAGAGCCACCCACAAAACATACAAACAGAGAAATGTGTATAAGCGTGCCGATGCCGCGCCACGGTGCGTCTGTGTGAAGGAAGGAATGGAGATTGAGAGGAGAAAGAGAAAGTGAGGTGGAAATAGAAAGAGCGAGAGAAAAGAGAAAGATGAAAGGTGAAAGATGAAAGACGGAAAACGGCTTTACGGCTCCACGAAGCCGTATTTCTGCGAAATGTCGTTGGTGATTCGAGGAAGTCTCGAAGCCCCTAGGAAACGTCCCGAGTTTCCACTCTTGATAGCGATAATAATCCTGACCCGGGGAGCCGGCTGCTATCCTCACGGATCCGACATCTACTCAAGAGTGTTACCCTCTTACCAGTACCAGGAAACCACTCTCATCCACGTGCTGAGATTCCCCGTAATACCGCAATAACGGTAGGAACGCTTTGACGTCGTGGCGCGAACGAATTACACGAAAGGCGTGAATTTCAGTTTCAGATCCTCGCTAACGAGAAGGAAACGGACGAAAAGATACATCGGACGCGATGAGAGCTTTACGTAAAAAATTTTATCTAAAGATATCCCATATTTTTCTTTTCCAACACCTTGACAGAAATAAACATGATATTACTTTTTTATACCGTCACAAGAATTATAATTTAAAGTGTCTGTTTTCTTTTTTTTATTTCCGGACGTACAAAGTCACTGCGTATCTTAATCATCGTGCGAACACCATCTCGCGGCACCTGCATCCGTTGAACCAAATGTTCGTCCTCAGCAGTTTTCGTCACCGTCGCCACTTGCTGACTCGGCCAGACACAAAGTTATACGGCCGAGAGATCTAAAGGGGATCATCTTAACCTTCTTATGTTGCGCATATCGTTGACACACTCGATAAGCGTCTTCGGTCCAAGTAAGCAGTCGCCACATCGGATTGCGATCGGTGCAGGTACGAGTGTGCCCGTCGTAAAGACACGTAAGCCAATATCATTCGCAACATTGAAGCTTCACAATTGCGATGTCCCGTCTGCACGTAAGGAAGTTTACAGCAATGGTTTCTAATAGCCATTATACAGGAGAGAGAAAAAGAGAAAGAGAGAGAGAGAGAGAGAGAGAAAAGGTAAAAGTAATCTACCGCGATATCTATATCGCGATGTGATATAATCCGCGAAACGATTACGATTTCCTGGTCTTATCCATCCACGGCGAAATCGACCGGCGAATCCGTCGTGGCTTGTTCAATTCGATCCACCCGGCATAGCTGGTGGGATTTAAGAGAAGAGAGTAAACTAAGACGGGCGGCATTCCGGAATCCTGCTAAGGATTTGCCGCACGTACCCCGACAACGTCGCAGATCTGTGGAAGTTTCTCCGTGGGCCGTGCGCGGGAAGGAAGGCTCGGAGACGGAGGGGTAGCTGGAATGCTGATTAGTCGGCGCTCGTGAACCGTAACACTATAACCTACCCCCGACGGCTTAGGTAACCGACGGGCGGGAAGACTCCGGATAAGATTCAGTGAGCGGGAGAGGGAGAGAGAGAGAAAGCGAGAAAGAGGTAGTGAGAGCGAATGCGGCGAGGAATAAGGGTGCGAGAGATTGAGAAGGGAGAGGGATAGGGGGAGGGGGGGGGAGCGACGACGGGGTCTGAACAGAGCAGCGGAGGGAAGAGAACGAAACGAGGGTTGGAGAAGCCGGTGGCTTAATAGGGAGGAAATTGAGTGCTCGAGCAATATTGAGGAGGATTCGGGATTCGCCAGGATCGTATCCGTCCCGTCCGCTTTTGGATTCCTCGGACGTGCATCGGCTTCCAGCGTAGCGTGGCCCGCAGGGGTTCTCCACCCACCGCGGATGCTTTTCACGCTGAGACGCACGTGAATCGATTTGCTGTGTATTCGATCGTGTCGCGAGCGTGATTCAACGACGGTATTCGCGGCGGCGGCGGCGGCGGCGGCGGCGGCGGCGGAGACGGCTTCACAATCTTTGTAACGAGCTATGCTATTGGCGTGCACTCACCCCGATGATAGTGTTCAGCTCGGTCATGGTCACTTGTTTGGCTCTGTCGAGTGCTGAAGCGACTTGCTGCTGATGCTCCTGAGAGAGAAAAGGCAGAATCTGCACAACGATCGCGTTCAGCCTTTTCGCTATTTCCGTCTGGAAAAAGTTTAATGATACCTATTAAAAATATATATCTTGGCAAAAATTATTAAATTATCACACTTATATATTCGCGAGTGTGGAAGCGACGCGAAGAAAAGAATGAGATTATTCCTAAAGATTGCGAAGGTTTTTTTTTTTCTTCACAATTAATCACTACTTAAATAAGCATGAAAAAACGAAATAAACACGAGCAGTTAGACATAATAATTATTCGGACGACTCAGCGACTTTGACGTTATCAATCTGACATCAATTAAATAATTATCTATTCATCGCTAAGTCAAAAAAGAAGTTTTACGAGCAAGCTTAACTGACAAGCAACATGATCGACTTTAATTTCCTTTGTTTTGTTTGTTTGTAAAATTTGTCACTCTTCGAATTGTTGAAACAAAGGGATATTACAAAAGTTGTTAAGTACAAAGTAAAAAAACGAACGTAGAACGTAGAAATAAAGAAGGAGAATCGCAGTGATCATTACAAATTACTGTATAGAAATTGTTGTATCGTATTGTTTATCCTTTCCCCCTTGTTCAATTAGAAAGCTATTAAGAGAAATTAGAAGGGGCAAAAACTAGAAACGGTAAAAAAGGAATATTTCGTTGAGCACTCAATACTTTCCCCTCGATAAGACACGTATTAACGGGCGGGAGGGTGTACAATCTGGCACCCAGGCAGGGCCCTCAGGCGGCTTGTTCCGGATCGTTAAGGAAGGTAAGGGCTAGCTTAACGCGCCCTCGCGAAGGAAACGAGTGAAGATGCAGGTGCGGCATAACCGACCGAGGGTGTTTACGACGCCCTCCAGCTGGAAGAGACTGCCGGGAATTAAATTAAATCCAGGCAAGATTGCCACAGTGGCGCAGGCATTTACACGCACCGTGTTATTTCACTCCAGTGTGACTTACCCCAACGTAATATTAAAACATCCGGGGTGCGGTGGGGGGGGGGGTACGTTGCTTTTTTTTTTATATCGCTTGGAGACATTTTTTTCGTTAATGGACACGTCACCGTTCCTAAATCCAACTTTTGTATATGTAATTTATCCTCGACACACGTGACGTATAACTTCCTTGACTCTCGATCCCGATATATTATTTTCTTAATCTACAAATTCTTTTTCTAAATACAGAGGAACGCCAGCCCATTATTAGGTAATCACGTACAAATCTACGCGGCAGGCCGGATAACTCCGGCATAATTATTCACACAGCACAATATCACACGGCGCGAAACTCCATTTAATTATCGCGGAATCAACAGGCAGCGCACGGAACGGAGCGGAGCGCGGACCATTTTCGATGCTTTCGTCGAGAAAATGAAATAGCACTTAATTACCTGAACAAAGCGGCAGCTCCGCCGCTCGTTTCCCTGCCGACGCGTAGAATTCGCACGCTCGAAAGACGCGGAAGCGGAAGCCGACGCGATTCGTCGTGAAACAGGAAGTAAACCGCTGGTTTCTCTACATGCCTCTCATTCTCTCCCCCTACCGTACCGCTTCCTCGGTAATTCGTAAACGCCCCCGAAAATATAAGCACGGCGAGCTCTCTCTCTCTCTCTCTCTCTCTCTCGCGGTTGATATAAACGCGAGCTTCCGTCAACGCGTTTTTGCCGCTGCTTAAACGAGTCTCGGATGCTAATTGAAATATCGCCAGACCACTGAAATTCTTGGCAAGTTTCCCTCGAGCTGCATCTCGACGAACGAATGGGAAAAGAGAAGTGGGAAGGGAGGGAGGGAGGGAGGGAGGGAGAGAGAGAGAGAAGAGAAAAAGAGAAAGAAAGAGCGAAAGAGTACGTAAGTATGTGTACGTACGTGTACGTATAACGAAGATGAAAGAGAACGCAAAGAGGAGGACCTGTTTTAATTACTCGTCGCCCTCTGAGTGCTGGTTATTAAGCCGCTAATTATAATGTACGCGAAAATGAGTCGAGCTATATCGGCGAGACATCATGTATGAGAGAGCAAGAAGGTTTACGCAGTATGCAAAAAGGCGCGCAATACGCGATATACAGAATGTGCAATTTTATGGAACATTGGAATTTTAAAGGTACACGTTTTGTTATTGCATACATACGTTACATATACGTACGTATCCAAAAGAGATTACGAGTAAACAGGAATTCCATAAAAAAATGACATTCGATATGTGTAAATATAATTTCACATGTAAATTGATTAGATTCTCTATAATAAATTTAACATTTTTTTTTCACAAAACTTAACCCTCCCCATTCTTTCCTGCTTGAAGAAATAACTGACTACGAAGCGTTTAACGTGTTTAATGATCGACCTCCGAACATGAGACGGCTTGTTATCACGACGAAACTCGAAGGTACTTGTATCGTTCGCAAGGATAACACGCGGAGAGTGTGTTTCGTAACGTGCGGTAAAGTCCCATCTACTTGGCGTACTGTACGGCAGTTTGTGGCGGTACCAGAACCAGAAGATTTCAAGCGAGTGGTAGAATGGGAGAGGACATTGTGGGCGAGAAATGGTGGCGACTCCAGGGAGGAAGAGACGACGACGGAGGTGGAGTCGTCGCAAACGTAATTGCGTTGCCAAGAAGTTTTCCCCGGGTGAGAGGTAACCAAGAAAATAATGAATGGCTTGGATGCTCTGCTGCTGCTCTCTCGCTTCGGAAGAGAAAGAGAGCAAGAGTGAACGAGAGAGAGAGAGAGAGAGAGAGAGAGAGAGAAACAGCAGAAGTAGAGAAACGAGAAACCGAGTTTTGGCCGCGATGCTCTCGTTGGCCTGGATTTCACACGGGGGAGAGATGAAAATCTCGCCCTGAGAATGAATTTTTCTCTCTCGTGCCAAATTGGACCAACGAAGATTGCTCTACTCCGAGCGGAGTCTTTCACAGCGCGAATGGCTTTTTCCTTAAAACACCACTTGCAGCGGGCGTTGTTGTTTTGCTATCGGAATATCAGGGATGGTACAATAAGATTTCGATGAAGACTATACTAAAAATCTACGGTTACATGCAAATAACCACACGTACGTGTGTGGTGTACAATTCTCGAAAACCTTCGATATTCCTCTTCTTTTCTTTTTCATATCCGCGTTCTCTATGACATTACAAGGAGTCGCGACGTGCGCTGAAACGGAAGACGCAGATGCTCCGGTTCAGTAATATCGCGAAAACCGCAAGAAGCTCTCGCAAAGTGCCATGCCTCTCCTCCTACATATGCACACACACATACTGACACACACACACACGCGCGCGCGCGCGGCATCGCCGTTGTGTCGCGCGCTTGCACATAC